GGAATCCATGGCTTCTCATGCCATGGATGGTTGATACTCACTCCCCTCCATCAGTAAACCATGGTTGCTCGAAGCTTCGAGACCTGACCTCGATGGTTCTCCTTTAGATCCTTATCAGATCTGTACATCTATGGCTTCTCCGGCCATTACTCCGGTATATTCAAGCACTCTGAGCCTTTTCGACTCAGGATCTGACCTTCCTCAAGACCTTTCTCATTTCTAGGGTTTTCTCTGAAACCCTAAGCTGTCCGAGGTTCTTTACTTGCTTATTTTCTTAGATCTGGAAAATGTCTGTGTTCTATTGAACTTTTTAAAGGTTTTCCCCAAATTCTCTTTTCAAAATCGTTTAATTTCGATTTAGGGTTTCTGAAAGGTTTTTCAAAAGCATCTTTCTGATTCTTTTTGTTCATTCTTTATGTGTGTTTGTCTGTGTTATGCTCGTATGACTTCTTTTACTATGCATGTACTGTTCTTCTACTTCCTTTTTCTACTATACACATTACTCCTGTACTCACATGTTAATCCGTGTTATGTTTTCCTTACTCTTCTACTATATGCGTTTACTGTGAGTTCTTTGATTTTGTTTACTTTATTTAGCTCTATTTGTGTTCTTGCTAAGCATATTTCACCTGCTTTTGTTTGAGCTCGTATCATCTCTTTCTTCTAAACTTGTTTAAACTACGAGTTTTCTCAAACATGTTCTCATGACCTTGAATCAGTTCTATCTATCATGTATGTTTGTTTCTCACAAAGTCTTTGGGAGAGACTTCTGAGCCTCTTTCAATGACCTGCTCTCTCACCTCTATGTCTGACTCAATTCGAAACCCTAGGATTTGGGGGTTTCTTTGGAAAGTGATATTAGGGTTCCACTTTGGGACCCTAGGCTTTCAGACTCACTCTAAGTCTGTAACTGAACTCGATTCCCTTTTGTTTATGACTCTAAGGCTTTCAATGTTAGACTCTTTTTCTGAGTAACCTGACGATTCCTTTCGTTTGATTGGTATGCTTTATATATGTGAAATTTCTCTTTCAAAAGGTTTTTACCAACTGATTGATTGATTCTGAAATCCTTTTAATAAGGCTGACGAATTGTCACTGATTTTTCTTCGATTGAACCTCTTTTACCTTTCTTGACTTGGTTTATTAGAATTGAACCCGTAATTTTGGTTTCATGGCTGTTTGATTGATTCCCTTGCCATATTTGGCACAAACTGTGTACCATTGATGGTTTTCCTTAAATAACTTCTATGTATTTACCCCTTTTGTGCTACTTTGAAAGGTTTTAATTAAAATTTATTTCCTTAACTGGCTTTTACCCATTAAAATCAGAATCTCTTAACCAAAGGGAGATCGATTTCAATGATATTTCCTTGCCTTTCTTACTTGTTTCTCTACACTATAAAAGGGACTACCCTTCTGCACTTTTAAGAGCACTTCGAGTTCAATACCTCGAACTTTTGGATTAATACTTTCAACTTACTTACACACTTTATTGCTTTGAGTTCAATACTCTTGCAACATTCTACTCATTTCTGGTATCTTTTGGAACTTTTGCTTGCAACTTGGCTTTTTCAAGACTACTTTTACTTGTTTGTTTTCCTTGAAACTAGTATGTTCTAATTTAGCTTTCCTGCCTCACCCTTATTGTTTATTTACAGTTTTCTGCAATATTGTTTACTTTGTTATTCATGATTAATGTTAACTATGTGTGTTCTTTCCTTGCATCTATTTTCTGTTATGAATCCCTACCCCTGTTCTCTTCTATTTGTTTGAGTTAAGGTTCATGGGCTGGCAGTATCCAAATTACTGCCCAGGTCCAAATCTGATCCTCAATGGATCCTAACTCCCAATTTTGGCTGACAGGCTGGTCAAGGATGTGCCAGCACTCTTAAATTGTTGGGCATGACCACCAGCCTACCATGGCCATTCCTAATCCCCCTCTATGCACATATACTTACTCTTAGATTCTAAGTTCTGTCCCCCTCTTATGACCCATGCTTTGGGACCATGAGTTCCCTCTGAACTTGGACATTTGAGGGCTGACTCTTCGACACTGCACTATAATCTAATTCTGCAATGTGTTTGGTGTGTAAGCACTGGCCTGAGTCCCTTTGAGACTCTTGGGAACTTTGACACATCCCAAATAAGAGAAAGGCTTTTTGGAAAACGGATCCTGGAAGTTGGTTTATCTCATATTGCTAGGTTGTTTGGTTGCAGCTGGAAGTTCTGATGTTTTTTTTGATTCATTCTAGTCTATAATAATTTGTAATAACTATGAGGCTCTAGTGAAAAAGGGGAGGGTCATTTATGTATGCATATGGGTAGACAACATGCTCACAGGGATTACTATTTACAAATTCTGCATTTAAGCATATCATATAGTACTCCTGCCTATAAGTCGTCTCATTATTACATTAGAAACCATGCCTATAAGTTTCTGCATATAGAAATCATGTATAAGTTTCTGCACTTATACATTTAGAAATCCTGCCTATAAGTTATGCATTACACGTAGAAATCTTGCCTATAAGTTGTTTCATTACTGCATTAGAAATCATGCCTATAAGTTTCTGCATATAGAAATCATGTATAAGTTTCTGCACTTATACATTTAGAAATCCTGCCTATAAGTTATGCATTACACGTAGAAATCTTGCCTATAAGTTGTTTCATTACTGCATTAGAAATCATGCCTATAAGTTTCTGCATATAGAAATCATGACTATAGTTTTGTTTATGCATTTCTGCATATTCATCTGTCGTTAGGCAAATAATCATAGGTTTAATAGTAATCAACTTCATTCTAGATACCATGCCAATAGGGCTCCTGCACTTACATAATCGTTTTAAAATCAATAACGCTTAGAAATCATGCCTATAGGAGCAGCCGTCTGAATCTGATTCGTCTATTTTATCTATAAGTCTAAAATCAGTAGTAATGTTTGTTTAATATCTGCAGAATTTAATTAGTTCTAAAATCAGTAACCCTTCTTTAAAATCAGTATACTTCCACCTAGGTAAGCAGTAGGTAATTGTTTAACTGTATCAGTGTTAATAAATTGCAACCACACAAGGCCTAATTCGGACTCCTTATCTGAGAAATATGTGATGAAGCAACATGTCCTAACGCTTTAAATTTAATTCAGACTATAACCAGTATTTGAAGTCATGCTAAATAATTTGCTCATTTAAGTGAGGAGGCCTGTTTGAGCCCTTAAACTGCTATTTGTTTCCCCCTACTTGCTTATGTGTTTTGTTTGTCGCATTAGAATTTTGTCCTTTTAAAACTCTGAAAAGCCCAACCTCCTTCCCTTTAGGACTAGTAGTCCCAAATGTCTCCAGGACTGATAGGATCGGGACGAGTAATAGCATGCAATAAGTAACGACACTATTCCGCGTTTAATACCTTAATGGGATGGGAAAGGGTAGATAGGAACATGATGACTGGTGCGCTAATACCACGTGCGACCCCTTTTTTGAGGAGTGATTGTCGGGTATTGCATTGATGTGATCCATATTGTTTGTAAACCTAGGACCCCTTCCCTTTTACTTGTTATCCCTTTTTTAACTGTCCAGACTATTTGCTTAAGATTTCTGTTTTCTTTATCTTTCTTCAAACTTTCAATTCACTTGCGACATTATGTGTAAATCCCCTTCTATTTGAGACCTTTATTTGCTTACTTGATAGTTAAAGTTACAATTGTAACATGGCGGGGAACCACACTAGTGGATCTTGAGGANCAATAATTATCCTCCAAATTACTTTTGTGATGATTTAGTCATCTAAATTCTTTATTTATGCCAAAATAGTGTTTAAAATAAAATATTATTTTTGAAATAAATTTAAAAAGAAAGTACAACAACAACAACACCCAGTAAAATCCCACAAGTAGGATCTGGGGAGGGTAGTGTGTACACAGACCTTACCCTTGTCTCAAGATAATAAAAAGAAAGTAAGACATATAAATTAAAACTGAGATAGTAGAAGAAATTAATACAAAAATATTGACAATTTTGTATATCAAAGAGCTAGGAAAAAAAATAATTTAAGAGCTATAACACTTCATGGAGCATAAATGAGAAAACTTGATAATCTCGTTCAAATGAAAGCAAGCTAAAGGATGATTCCAAGTAGCAAAACGATAAAGGCAAACAAAACAGTAAACATCATACAAATTGAAAGTCGTTATATTGTCAACTATTTTATATTTCTAAGTGTTGGCAAGCTTAATCTTATGGGAGAATTTGTATCTTAGAATAGTATATGTATTAATATAGTTACTACGGTGGTATGATCTTGTATTGTTTAATTCAGTATTTCATTTTTTTCTTAACCTTTCTACGTTTGTTTCTTAAATAAATAGTCATTTACTTTATCTGAATGTTAATTGATACTCCTCCGTTCCAGTTGATGTGAACCTATTTGATTGGGTACGAAGTTTAGAAAAGATGAAGACTTGGAATTTGTGGTCCTAAAAAAGTTAAAAAGGGGTCCAGAGTATTTGTGTGTTATAAAAACTTCTCATTAAGGGTAGAATAGTAAGTTTAAACTAAATTATTTTCAAATTTAAAAAAGGGTCTTTTTTTTAATGGACCAAAAAAAAAATAGGTTCACATAAACTGGAATAGAAAGTATAAATTTTTCAAAGAAATTATTGATGTATTTAATTTTTCAAATTAAATATCTTCACAATGTTGATGGAGTTGTACATTCTTGCATGAATAACTTGTAAAATTCGGACTAAATTATAAGTTGACTATATTGATTGAGGACTTTTATGGACAAAATTTCTTCCTTTATTGTATTAGCTAAATAGGATCAGCAAACATCATTTTTATGAACATAATTCTTAATGCAATATTTATGTGATTTCTAAAAAAATTATATTCATTAAGATAGAGTACACCCTAAAACTAATTAAACTAAATCTTGCATGCGCTGATGACAGATATTTAGGAGCGTAACATTAAACTTGTCGCTCGTGGGGCCGTCTCTTGAATACTCCACATAAAATTAGTTTAAGCGGCCAAAGAGATCTTTTGAGACGAATTTACTAGAGTGGCTCTTTTGAATGAATTTCTATGGCTTCCATGAAAATTTTGTCTCTCTTGAAATCAGGCGTTAATGGTTCAACATCACTAAAGCAATGCAAACTTTTGCACCAAAAGATTGTTACTTTAGGCTTAGAAAGCAGCATTATTTTTTCCAAGAATCTAATTAACCTATACATCTCTTGCCAAGATTTCCATTCTGCTAAGCTAGTTTTTCAAAATCTTGAAAACCCTCTTGATATCACTTTGTGGAATGGTCTAATGTCTGATTATACCAAGAACCATTTGTTCAATGAAGCTCTTGAGCTCTTTGAGAAGCTGTTGCACTTCCCATATCTCAAAGCTGATAGTTACACCTTTCCTAGTGTTCTCAAGGCTTGTGGTGGTTTAGAAAAAGTCCAATGTGGTCAAATGGTACATGCTCATCTGATTAAATGTGGGCTTTTATCAGATGTTGTTGTGACAAGTTCACTGATCAGTATGTACGCGAAATGCGGCTTGTTCGGTTCGGCTATACAGCTGTTTGATGAAATGCCTGAAAGAGACGTTGCGTGTTGGAATACTATGATTTCATGCTACTATCAAAGTGGGAAATTTGCCAAAGCGCTTGAGTTCTTTGAGAAAATGAAGGGTTTGGGATATTCGCCTAATTCGGTTACGTACACAGCTGCAATCTCGTCATGTGCGAGGCTTTTGGATATGGAAACAGGGGAGAGAATTCATCAGCAATTAGTGAATGATCATTTTTCATTGGATGGTTTTGTAAGTGCTGCTCTTGTAGACATGTATGGGAAATGTGGCTGGTTAGAGAAGGCTAAAGAAATCTTTGAGCAAATCCCTGTCAAGAGTTTGGTTTCCTGGAATTCCATGATATCTGGGTATAGTTTGAGAGGTGATACCAGATCATGCATTGAGCTTTTAACAAGGATGAGCAAAGAAAACACGAGACCGTCTTCTGTGACTTTAAGCAGCTTATTAATGGCATGCTCTAAATCCGCTCAATTGCAGCACGGGAAGTTTCTTCATGCATATATAATTCGAAATAAAATAAGATCTGATGTCTTTCTTAATGCTTCACTTGTTGACTTATATTTCAAATGTGGGAGAGTTGAGACTGCCCAAAATGTCTTTAGTAAGATCACAAAGAAGAGTGTGGAAGCTTGGAATGTAATGATCTCCGGATATGTGTCAGCTGGATACTACTTGGAGGCTCTTGACATCTATAATGACATGAAGTTGGCAGGGATAAAACCTGATGCAATCACTTTGACGAGTGCCTTGGTATCTTGTTCACAGTTGGCTGCCTTAGAACAGGGCAAGGAGATCCACAAGTGTATCATTGACAATAGGTTTGAATCCAATGAAACTGTTATGGGATCATTGCTTGATATGTATGCTAAATGTGGTGTCGTAAGTGAAGCTTCTCAAGTCTTTGATGAGTTGCCTGAGAGAGATCTGGTATCATGGACTACAATGATTGTGGCATATGGATCTCATGGCCAAGCTTTTGAAGCTTTAAAACTCTTTAATGAAATGCTGCATTCTAATGTAAAACCCGACAGAGTTGCATTCCTTGCAGTAATTTCTGCATGTGCTCATGCAGGATTAGTGGATGAAGGTTGTCATTATTTTAATTTAATGGTCAGTGTTTGTGACATCCAACCATCAGCTGAAGAGTACTCATGTCTTATTGACCTTCTTGGGCGTGCTGGAAGATTGCGTGAAGCCTATGCAATTGTACAGAGCAACCCACACGTCAGGGACGATGTTGAGTTGTTAAGCACATTATTTTCTGCATGCCATTTGCACGAGGATCGAGAGATTGGAGAAGAAATTGCAAAGGTACTTACTCAAAAGGACGTGGATGATCCATCGACTTATGTTGTTTTTGAAAAAATGTATGCTTCGCAGAACAAATGGAATGAGGTACGCAGGTTGAGAATGAAGATGAAGGAGCTAAGGTTGAGGAAAAAACCTGGATGTAGTTGGATTGAAGTAGACAAGAGGATTCTAACTTTCTTGGCAAATGATAAATCATTCCCATTAGTAGACAATGTTTATCAATGTCTATGCTTAATTTATAGTGACATGGAAAACTATGAATGCTTTAGTCTTAATAGCAAGGGAGATGAATACTACTCACAGCCAGCAACTTGACCACACCAATCTCCTTGTTCATGATAGTTTTGATAGTATTAAACTTTTTCGTTGACAGAAAATACTAAACTCTTTTAGTTAAATAATTAATTGTATGAATAATTAAACAAAACTTTTTAAGAATTTAAAACTCAAATCCAAACCCCCTCCCTGGATTTTTCTTCCACGTTCCTCTTCCCCGTTAGTCTTCTTGTCAAGAGCGACAAGCCATCTTCTCTGTATAAGAACTCAATGTAGGTACTTTCCTATATATTTTTTTCTTTTTTTTTCTTTTTCTTGTCAACCATTTTCTTTTTTCAAGCATAGATGGAAAAATCAATATGCCGAAACACCAAACCTAGGGCAACTACGACATCTAAGTTTAGAATATGATAGCTTATGGAGCGTCTTTTATCCCCTTAAGTAGAAGCATTTAAAATATTGTATACGGTCAAAATCGGGCTCGTCTATAACATAGTAGATTGGGCTCGGAACACGAGGGACTGAAGATCGACCCCAAGTCCCACCAGACCAGAGCCCGAAGTTAGAATGTCTATCTTCGAGAACATTGAGACTGTAATCCCGAAATCGACCCTGACCCCGCACGAGCTCGAAGAAACATTGTTAAGGTACCAACATAAGATCGAAATATCTGTGACTGGTCGGATATTACGGTGGGAATCTCAGCACGTATCAAAGAGCCAACAATCAGCAAATCAAGAGATTTTATATAAAGGGGGTTTGATAATTCATTTAGACACATTGTAACACGCACTCAGAAGCAATATACTGTTATTTTTCTCTTTAAGCTCTTATTCAACTGTGTTTTGTGACCAATCGAAGTGTATCTTGTTCAAGGGTGGCTAATCCCCAGGGGTGTAACTGTTCAATTCGTGCGGTTTGAATTTATTTTATCATTGTCTATTTCAATTGCATTTTAATTTATTGTTTTATGTCAATTTAATCCATGTATCCTTAAAACCATTTATAAATTTAATTGTTATCCGATTTTGAGGGTAAACAAATATCATCTAAGTTTAAAATATCTTTTATAGTTAAAGATGCAGCATCTAGATGTCAAAATTCATATTTTTTCTATCTTAAACGAGAAAAAAAACTTTATAACTTCTTTCAACTGGAACTGCGTTCCTTTACCCTAGCTATATTTGAAAATATCAATGCAACTGTTAAGCTTAATTGATATGGAATATTTGAATAGATAAAAGTAACTTTACATTATGAATCCAACAAATAATATTGGATTGTAGATAGACAAATGACGTAACAAAAATTAGGCAAAACTTTACGGAGGTTTTTGAAGAATGTTAGAATGATTGTAAGAGCAAAATGTGCAAATATAAATTAAAGACTGACTTTTATCAAATATTTTTAATGAATAAGAATTAGCAGTGTTGTTAATCATTGTTGTTATTTGTGATCACTAGTTTTTAAAATGAATTTTGCGTTATGAGGCCTTAAAAACCTCTTTCAGCATCACCTTGATTTGCATGTGTAGTCCGGGCGCGTAGCCGAAAAGCTATTATGTGAAAATCTGTGAAAAATGTTAAATTTTTTACTTAAAATGCATTTAAGTTGACTTCGGACAACATTTTGGGTAAATGGACCCCGGACCCGGAAAAATATGGGACTTGGGCGTATGCCCGGAATCGAATTCCGAGGTCCCAAGCCCGAGAAATGAATTTTTAAAGAAAATTATTTTCTGAAAATTTCTATGAGTTGTGGAAATGAAATGCATTTAAAAATTGATGGTATCGGGTCCCTATTCTGGTTCCGGGGCCCGGTACAGGTCTTATATGTGCAATAAGATAAGTTTGTGAAATTTGGTAAGAAACGGATGTCATTTGACGTGATTCGGACCTTAAATGCAAAATTTGATGTTTTAAGAAGTTTTGAAGTATTTCATTGATTTTGAGGTTTAATTCATTGTTTAAGGGGTTATTTTGGCGATTTGATCGCACAGATAAGTTCATATGATGTTATTGAGTTAGTATGTATGTTTGGTTTGGAGCTCCGAGGGTTCAGGTGACTTTCGGAAAGATTTTGAACTCATAAAATCTGAAGGTTTTGGCTGTTCAGTGCCCAGGGATTTTGTTCTTTGCGTTCGCGTGATCCCTCTCGCGAACGCGTAAGGCAAATTTCCCAGGTGCCAGATTTCTTCTTCACGAACGCGAAGCTTGAGACACGAACGCGAGGCTGAGGGGGGAGTACCCTTCGCGAACACGTCCAGGTACCCGCGAACGCGTAAGGTTGAAGGCCTGGGGGGAGGGTTCACATTTTGTTCTGCGCGAACGCGGCCACTGGCCCGCGAACGCGAAGGCTCGAGGGGTCAAAGCTCCGCGAACGCGAGCCCAATGTCGCGAACGCGAAGGTCACTGAGGTCTAACTCATCGCGAACGCGTCAGGCCTATCGCGAACGCGATGAAGGCCTGTCCAGTGATTTTAAAACAGAAGCCAAATGGGATTTAGCCAAAATTTCATAACTTCTTCTTCTCAACTCCAAATTGGGCGATTTTTGAAAGGGGATTTCACCACCAATTCATAGGTATGTAATCTTAGACTTATTTTCTTCAATTTCCATTAGCACCCATTAGATTTCTAGGCTTAAATCATGTTCTTAAGGGTAGAAAATTAGGGATTTGGGTAGAGTTAGGGCTTTTTGAATAATTGTGATTTAGACCTCATTTTGAGGTCGAATTTTGGAACTAATTGTATATTCGGGATCGTGGGTGAATGGGTGATCGGGTTTTGGTCCGAATCTTGTATTTTGACCAAGCGGGCCCGGGGCCAATTTTTGACTTTTTGGGAAGAATGATTGGAAAACTATAATTAAGCATTGGAATTGGATTGTTTAGTGTTTATTGATGTTATTAAGTCGATTATGTCTAGATACGATTGGTTTGGAGCCGAATTCAAAAGGAAAAGCGGTGTTTGAGGCTTGAGTTGGCCGTAGAAGTTCGAGGTAAGTGTTTGGTCTAACCTTAGCTTGAGGGATTAGGAGTTGTGTCCTATTTGCTACTTGCTTCTTGTTGTGTACGACGTATAGGCATGGTGACGAGTATCTATACGTTGATGTCGAGCATGACCGTGAGTCTTAAATTGTAATTTATTGTATTCTTAAATACTACTTCGAATGCTTAAGTTGATGATTCTCTGTATTGAGCAAGGATTATGAATATTCTCGTGGAAAATTACTTATGACTGAGTATTGGTGTTAGTTGAGGTAGTTAGATGTTGGAATAAGTTTGGTTATAGCAGTTTCTCCCTTGTCGGGATGTAGTTACTTATACTGTCGATTCCCTTGCCGGGATAGTGTAGTTCTTTATTGATCCCTTGTCAGAACTCTTGTTATGATTATTGTTGATAGTATATGTGGATCGGTTGCGCGCCAAAACAATGATATATTTGGATCGGATTGCACGCCGCAACCATATTATATTTGGATCGGGTTTCATGCCACAACAATATTGTATGTGGATCGGGTTGCACGCCGCAATAATGATATAATTGGATCGGGTTGCGCGCCGCAACAATGATATAATTGGATCGGGTTGCACATCACAATAGTGATAAATGGTATAGATCGGGTTGCACGCCGCAACAATGTTGTTATGTGTTGGGATCGGGTTGCGCGCCGCAACAAGTGATGATCTAAAGTGTTTATAGATTGGTTGTAGGTTCCTTATTATTTTGTTGTAAATTCTATGTTGTCCCTATGTCTTTTCTTGATTTACTATTGATATTGATATACCCCCGCAGCATGTACCCCCTCCCATCTTTACTTGTTTATTCCTGTTTTATTTTCTGCTATATATCATATAACTGCACAGGTTTATTGGTAGTCTGGTCCTAGCCTTGTCACTACTTCGCCGAAGTTAGGCTAGGCACTTACCAGCACATGGGGTCGGTTGTGCTGATGCTATACTCTGCAGTATGTGCAGATCCCGAAGCAGCTTTTGGAAAGTAGCATTTGGGCTGGTTGCCTTCAGCCCAGCTAGAGATCCCGAGGTAGTCCTGCAGGCGTCCGCATGCCCGACATTCTCTTCTATCTTATTATGTACTCTGTTTTCATTTGATTTCGAGACAGGCTGTATTTCTTTCAGACCTTTGTCGTAGTAATCATAGACAGTCCGTGATATTGTGACATCGGATTCCGGGTAGAGGTGTATGTTGGCATAGTAGTACTGGCTTTGGTTATTTTATCAATTTAAGTCTTCCGCTTGTTTTATTTATCATTAATATTCAATATTAATTACCTGTTAATCTCAGTTGTTAAAAAGGGATAAAATGATAGGGTTAGTGGTTCTTTATTTGCGTGGCTTGCCTAGCTTCTACGAATAGGCGCCATCACGACTCCCGATGGTGGAAAATCCGAATCGTGACAAGTTGGTATTAGAGCTCTAGGTTACATAGGTCTCACAATTTACAGACAAGCTTAGTAGAGTCTGAGGGATTGGTACGGAGACGTCTGTATATATCCCCTAGAGGCTACAGAGTTAGGAAATACTTCACATTTATTCTTTCTTGTCATGCCGTTTGGTTTCCCAATGCTAATTGAATTTCTACTATGTTCTTTCACAGATGGAGAGAACACGCGCTTCCTCATCCACCGATCAGTAGCCCGAGCCCCCAACAGCAGCTCCTACGAGGGGCAGAGGTCGAGGCCATGCTAGAGGCCGAGGTAGGGGCAGAGCTCAGCCTAGAGCAGCAACACCAGCGGCGGAGCCTCAAGTTGACTTTAATGATGAGGTACCGGCCCAAACAGTTTCAGTGGGCCCAGCTCAAGTCCTAGAGGGGTTTATTGCTACCCCAGTACTCCAGGACACTCTGGTCCGTCTATTTGGCCTTATAGAGAGTGTCACGCGGGCAGGCTTGCTTCCTGTAGCACCAGCCGTCTCTCAGGTTGGAGGAGGAGCCCAGACTTCTACTACTCACACTCCGGAGCAGATGGCTTTCCAGTTTCAAACTCCAGCAGTTTAGCCAGTTGGAGCAGTTCAGCCAGGTGT